CAAATTTGTGAAAGTTCAGTTGCTTTAAAAGTTTCAGGCTATGTGGTACAATTTTTTAAACTTTCAACTACAGTTTTAACTAAGGCACAAAACCATAGTAATAATGAATAAAATGCTTGACACATGATGAATAAAATAAAATAAAATAAATATGATAACAAAAATTATTTAAAATAGTTACATCAATTGTTTTGTAAACCCATCACCATACCCTTCAAATGGTATAAGAGTTGGTGACTGATCACAACGTGGACAAAGTTTGTTACGCACAGAAGACGATCTCATCCAAACAATAATGTTGTACCTTGTGCCATCAGTGATGTCCATAGCACCATGCATATGCTGTCCTCTGTGAATGACTCCTCTACCAATCTTGTGATAATAAGGATAGAGACGAGGATTAGAAACAACAACCTGGAAATAATGAAAAGAATAATAAAATACTTCTTTGGATTCACAGAGCAAAAGTCTCAAATTTTTTGTTAGATTGACTTTTAAAAATTAATTTGCAATTTTTTTAATATTTTGCTGTGCTTTTATTTCACAGTTGCATGCTAATTTGTGAAGACCACACTATATGGTAAACCAATTGCAGTGTAGGTTACTTTAGAATAACAATTATAGGCAAAAGTTACTGCCTAAATTATGCAAGGTACATGTATCTTGCCTATGATAAACTACATTGGTATAAAATAAAATTGATTCTTGAGCTACGAGACAAAAAGAAGTTGCTCAAAAGTTAGGCAAATGGGCATTTTGACAAAAATCACAAATAGAGAACTCTTCATTTTTATAATTTTTCTGATACACATACATGTACATGTATGTGTACCTGTTTTTATGTTGTGTAAAAAATTTGAGATGAGTCCTACCAAATATAGATTATTTTACAAATTTCTTAAGGTGCTCAAAAATTTGGATCAACAACAAAAGGCCATAATAGCCTTTGATAGCTGGCCTAATTTTGTCAAAAATGACGAGGAGAGAATTCTCTATCTTTATAATTTATCCAGATACATATACATGTTCTTATGTTGTGTAGAAAGTTTGAGCTAATTTCAATCAAAATCAGATTTTTATGAATTTTAAAAGTTGCTCAAACATTGGACCAATGACCGTTGGCCCTATTTTGTCAAAAATGGCTAGAAGAGAAATTTTCATTTTAATATTGTTTTCTGATACATGTGCATGTTTTCATGTTGTGTAGAAAGTTAGAACTGATTCTGATCAAATTTGGATTTTTAACAAAATTTTAAAGTTGCTCAAAATATGGACCAACAACCAAAGGCCTTTGGTCATTAGCCTAATTTCATTAAAAATGACTAGAAAAAATTTTTCCATTTTTTATAATTTTTTTCTCATACACATACATGTTCTCATGTTGTGTAGAAAGTTTGAGCTGATTTCAATCAAATCAGATGTTTATGAATTTGAAAGCTGCTCCAAATGCCATGTACTGTATTTTAGTGCTTGTCAGCTGATGAAGCATGCTTTGTGGGAAACCCTGAGTGTGTGTGTGTGCATGTACTTGTACTTACTCCTTTCATTTCTCCAAAGTATAATTCCCCATCACTGTACTCTTTACCCAGTGACACACTGAGACTTACTTCAGCATTATCAAAATGAGTTGAGAGTCCAACATCAGTTCTATCAGTAGGACCAGTGGCATCATATGTCACAATATGTGATCTGTGAGAGTCTAGTCCAGAGGAGCCAGTCCATTCAGGATACAGTAGAGCAGATAATGGCTGAAGGTAGTGCTCCCTGAATCTGTTCATAAAGTGATCATCAAATCCCAATTCTGCCAGTAATATCTATTAATTGATAGAATATCATGACACTGTATGCATTATGATTTTGTATTTCAGTTAGAAGATAAAATTTATTAATTTTAGAGTTTAGGGTCAACTATAACAATAAATTTTATTTCTTTTGGTGCAAATATACCATATTACACAATGTACACTGTACATGTACTTTACATGTAGATGCTATTTAATGACAACATATATAACACACCCCAGTGTTGTTCATTGTATTAGGACGTCCTTTAGGAAGATTTGACCTCTCAAAATGATCCAACTCATCAAGAAAATGTCTGCAGAATTCATCAGTGAAGACAGGAAATGAATATACTCGTGAAGTTAATCAATGCAAAAAATAAAAGAGCTTT